TGGAAGGCTGCCCACTGCTCCGTGTGTGTGTGTGTGTGTGTGTGTGTGTTTACTACTCACTGCTGTGTGTGAGCACTTGGAAGGGGTAAATGCAGAGCACAAATTCCGAGCATGGGACACCATACTTGGCCACACATCACTTTCACTTTCATCCTAAATTCCTCAAAAATCTGTTCCGATGAAGAAACAAACTCATCTACTATTTTCAGAACATTTTCATTTTTGGGTGAATTGTTCCATTTGGAGACAGGACAAGACAGGGTTATGTTGTGTTCAATGATAAAGTCTGTTGGTTAATAAGTACCACTAGGGGGAGTTGAATTGTCATGCATACATGTAAGGGAAGGAGAAATGTTTTGTTGGGAGTGCTTCAGTAAATTGATGAACGTATTAAGATAAGTGTGTTCTTTTCTGATTTATTCTGGTGACACAGCAGGTTAGTCCAGGGTTTGCAGCATTAGAAGTGTGAAAAAAATTCCATGATACAGTGAGTGTCCTAGTTCTGTCATTAAGACAATAAGATGACCAGTGACATGTAAGGGAAGAAGAAATGTTTTGTTGGGAGTGCTTCAGTAAATTGATGAACGTATTAAGATAAGTGTGTTCTTTTCTGATTTATTCTGGTGACAGCAGGTTAGTCCAGGGTTTGCAGCATTAGAAGTGTGAAAAAAATTCCATGATACAGTGAGTGTCCTAGTTCTGTCATTAAGACAATAAGATGACCAGTGTGTGGGCATAGTGGCAGCATAAGTGAGGGAATGTAATTACAGTTTATTCAAAATTATACGTTTATTCAAAATCCTGCGGTTAAAAGCTTTTGTTCATCATGCTGGTTCCAATTTAATGATGCAGTAACATGCTTGATGGCAGTTTGGGAAACAGTCTCTGCTATGAGATTAGTCAGCATTGATCTATACAAGATTTTTTCAGACATTGCATGTTATCTTGTTATCTTGTAAGGCTTCAAGTTTATTGCCAATATTGGGCTCAGCTGTTCTTACAGGACCTTGCAGCTGCCAAACCAGACAGTCAAGCGCCTAGTCAGGATGTTGTCAATAGAGCAATTTCATAAGTTGGCTAAAAGATTTTAGGGGACGGAGAGACCAAATTTCTTGAGTCTTCGCTGATGAGCAGATTTTTACCACTGTATAGAGTTTACCAGAGTGAAGCGATGGTTTTAACTTGAAGTCCATATGAAATCAAAATGGACGTTTTTTGGCTTTTAATATGAATATGTTAGCCTTAGGGTTTTCTATACGCTTTTGTTCTAAGTAGTTATGTCAAGTGGAAAAGTAGTGTTCAATAACAACACAAAATCATGTAATCACCTGTTAAGCCAAACATATGTGTATTGTTGTGACTACCAAATCCCTTAGTTAAAAGTTAAAAATAAATAAAAAATCTTTGTTGCAACTAGCTGCAGAGTGTCACTGTTTGACCCAGGGCAAAATCTAATGCCAGTTTTGCACCCTTGAAGGGCACTTTGTAGGAGCGTTACAAAAGAAAATGAACATCTGAATCTTTCCACAAAGGACCCTTCCACAAGTCTGTTAGTGAAGGGTACAAGCAATGTTCACTTCATGTAATTTTATTGTTTATGGTAATATGACCCAGGGTATTCGCAATTTAATTTAAAGCTAGATATGAAGGGAGAGCTCAAATTAACATATAAAGGGAATAGTTCACATTGTTTTGTTGTGATGTACACATTTTTTGTCATGCATTTCATGTAAAGTTAAATAAGTTGCATAGGGTATAAAATGCTTAATTAGTAGGTAGATGTGACTGTCTGCAGGGTTTAAAGAAGAGACAGCAGGTTTTATAAAGGTAAGTGCAAAAAGGGAACATGCACACACACAAATACACATTTGCAACGGTCCCACTTTATATTAAGTGGCCTTAACTACTATGCACTTACATC